AAGGGTTTCAGGAGATTCCACGCGGCTCTTTTCCTTAATTCGGAAAACTGGGAGTTCTTGGCGCAGGTTAAAGGTCATATTTGGATCCACACCACCTTCGTGCCCAAAATGATGGCGAAAAGGAAGAGGCTCGCTGGTATGACGCACTGCAAAATGAAGAAAAAAGTTAGACAACTTAAAAGCAAAGCTCAGACATGAAGGTCGAACCTCGCGTCGAAAAATTCAGACGCAAAGGTCGAACCTTGCGTCGAAAACCTCAGACGCGAAGGTCGAACCTCGCGTCGAAAATCTTAGACGCGAAGGTCGAACCTCGCGTCAAGAATCCAAGATGCGGAGGTCGAACCCCTCATCAAAAAAATACTAAACGACGGAGTCTAGCCCCGCGTTATCGAAACGAGTTTCCTCGTTGATCCAAAGATCACGGAGGCCGTACTCACCGCCGATCAGAGGAAGCTAGGGCGGCACGCTCGCCTGAGCAGTAGCGCCGCCGGCCAGCACAGACGGCGCCGACCCCTGAGCCGTGGCAGCATCGGACTTGGAGGGACGAGGGGCAACCTTCTTGGGTGCCATGGATCCTAATCGGAGGAGATGAGCAGTTCTCGCCGGAGATGAGAACGAAAATTTTCGTTAGATTTTCAAGAAGAGTCGAATGATTCTTGATTCGACCTCCAACGGTCTATTTATAGACAGATGTGAGCTGTCAAATCATAACGGACAGGATTTGAGGCCAGAATCCCGCCCAAACTCGACCCTAGCGTTCGAGTTGGTTGGAATTCTAAAACGCGAGGCTCACCCACGCGTTCCAATTCTTAAATGCAGAAGCTATTTGGACGGCTATAATAGCAGCTTCTTGCCTACCCAGGCTACAACAATCATCAAGATGACCAAAATAGAGAAGAAACAAGCAACTCCACTGGGGAGTCTATCAGATGGTTGCAGGCAGATTACAATCAGCAACACTAAAACCATCAGATTCGATTTGGAGCGCACCTCATTCTTCATTATCATCAAGGCTCAAAAGCTGTTTTGTTTGGTTCGAGGAATCAACATTTCAACATTCCGACAACCAGTTTCACGATGCTTTCAAATCAGACAGAGCGAACAATTAATCCACTAAATTTTGGGATCCAAAGTATTCCGAAAATTCGTCCCAGTCAACCGCGAACTTTTGAAAACTTTGGAGGGGGTTCTGTAGGCTGTCTAAAAATCACAATGGATAGTTGATCCCTAACAAGCCCCGATGATAGAAGTTACAATCAGACGACTTTCTAATTACTGCATCTGCAACTGTGCAACTGCTATAAACACGGCCTCATCTCTGAGATGATTGATCTTGATGGCTACGACAACAGCATGACTAATATTATATTAGCAACTATTAGAGATGCTGATGAGCAGTGTAATGATTTTAGAAATAAAAGGTTGGACTTAGTTGGTGAGTTGCTTGGTAGAGAGCTGTGGGCAAATATTCGTCTAAAAATCACTATGGATGATTGATTCCCGTCAAGTTCCAACAATAAAAGCTACAATCAGATAGCTTTCATGCCAACAAATAAAAAGTTGCAAATGGAGGACTTTTCACATAGATCGAGAAGAGTTACAATCCAACGACGCTTCCGACAATTGATGAAAACTCTATTCAGCAGTCTCCATAATCTACAGTGAAAGTTATAATCTGACGACTTTCACACCCCCACAACAGCTAAAGCTAGGATTACTGAACAACGGTCCTTACAACGCTCTGTAGGAGAGGTTACAAATCAACTAACCCCTTCTAAAACGCGGAAGTCATCCCCGTGTCATAATTTTGGAAATGCAGGCGACCCCCGTGTTTCCAAGCTATAACAAGCCAAACGCAAGCGACCCTCGCGTTCTGGAGGTTCAACCAACACCGACCCCTGTGTTTCTAAGCTATAACAAGCCAAACACGAGCGACCATCCCGTTCATTGATGTTCAGCCAACACCCAACCTCGCGTCTCAATTCTAAGAGGCGACGTTGGGTTCTGAACGCCAGATTAGGCGTTTGATTCGTTCAAATATGAGTCGAACGGTTTCAGAACTATTTTCCCACGATCTGAGGAAATCACGCCCACTTAGGAGCAGATTTAGAGGGCAGTTACAACCTCTTATCCACCTATAAAAACTCAACAAACTCAACTGAGTGAGGGGCTGACTTTTTGGAACGAAGAGGGGACAGCAGAGAGAATTCTTGAGGATCTCAACCGCACAGAGAGGCAGGAGAGGTGAATTTCTTGGAGATAGAAGATTTGAATCAAATTCAGAAGATCAAATCTAAGAGGATTCTTCAACAACAGAAGATCTGCTTGGTCATTAACCGAATTTTCGGTTCTAACAACTCTATTCACAGAGTTCTAACTCGTTCAGACATAAAACTTTCCACAGAAGTTCATCGTTCCCACGAGATAAAAGACGGTCGGATCGTCAACGGAGAGCAAATTCGACGCGAACAATCGAAGGAGGCACTCCATCACTACTGAGAAGAACCCAGTTTTAAACAAAGGGGAGAACCAAATTTATTCTCCTCTCTTTTGTAATCGGAATCCAAATTGTAATCGATTTTGAGAGAATACAAGTTAATTTTCTTTCATTATCTTTTTACTGCAAATTTTCCCACATACAACTCTTTAAAAGGGGCATTATCACTGTAATGCCTGTAACTTATGTGCTGGTACATGTTTGGAGACTAGAGATCATTTATTCTTTGAGTGCATGTTTTCGTGTAATGTTTGGAATTACATAATGGATTGGTTGAAATTTGACTGAAGATCTTCAAACTGGCAGCAGCTCTAGAATTGGTATACTACTCGATTGAGGGGAAAAGGAGCAAAACAAAGACTCAAGAGGTTAGCTCTGAATGCCGCAATCTACAATATTTGGAGGGAGAGAAATTCAAGACTCTTCCAACATAAAATTAGGATTGATATTATTTTTCTTTTGTAATTTTTTTTGTAATCTCAGTTATTAAAACTAAGCATCTTGCTGTGTATATAACTCTCACATTTGGTAAATGAATAAAATTTTTCATTGACCAAAAAAATATTCAATAAAAAAGAAAATGTCAGAGATGACTAAGAAGAGACGAGATCTAATCTGATGGCATGGTCTAATGATGGTTATTACCATAGTAGGAAAGAAGTAAAAAAAAAAGAAATATGAAAAATAAAAATAATAAATTAAATAGAAATTCTAGTTTTCTTTTACCAAACTGGTTCCATACTAAAACTTAGGATAATGTGAGAGACTAGAACTTTTATTTTTTAATAGAAAAAAGGGATAATTTTGTACAATTATCCTAGTTCTAGTTTTGTTAGAGTTGTAGTTGACTAGCACCGTAAAATTCTATTCATGTTTTGGCTAACATTATAAAATTTATCCTATAAGTTAGCCTAGCTAGTTCTAGGTTTGAATTCTATTTCACTAAGGGCCTGTTTGGTTATTTCCTAAAAAACCAAGAAATAGAAATGAAAACCAAGAAAACTCAAAAACTATAATTTCATCCCTTTCCATCCCTAAAACTCACCCACAACATCGAATAAATATTATTTTTATCCAACAACTCATCCACCATATCTAATAAAATATTAATTTTATCCAACAACTCATCCACCACATCCACCACATCTAATAAAATATTATTTTTATCCAACAACTCATCCATCACATCTAATAAAATATTATTTTCATCCACAATATCACTCAACTCATCTCATCTCATCATTTCAAATCACTCACATCATCCAATAAGATAGTGATAACTCATCTCATCTCATTAACATTTTATTTTCACCCATTTCCTCCCAAAAATCTAGAAAAATAATTTCCTTAAGTGTGAGTCACATCATCCAATAATATAATGATAACTCATCTCATCTCATCTATTTTCTTATTTTTAAGGATGAACCAAACAAAAGAAAATAACCTATTACAAGAAATAGATTTCTTATAATTCATTTCCTTATTTTTTTTCGCCAAGCAAACAACATTAAAACAAGCTTTCTTAAAAAATCACTCACATCATCCTATAATAAGGTGACAACTCATCTCATCTCATCTCAATTTCTTTGATTTTCTTCTTTTTTTTAGCAAACCAAACACTCCCAAAATAATTCTTCTTAGAAATAGTTTTCCATTTCTTTGATTACCCATTTTTTAGGCAAACAAACAGACCCTAATTCCCTAAAGAAAATATTTCTTGAATCCGCAAGTGGGAACATAATTTTGCAAAAAAAAAATTAGGAAATCAAAGAATAAGAAACCTATTTCCTATAATAATTGTTTTGAGGTTGTTTGGTTGGCTTAAAAAAGAAGAAAACTATAGAATAGCAGATGAGATGAAATGAGTTGTCACATTATTATTGGATGATGTGAGTGATTTTAAAAAAAAACTTGTTTTGAGGTTGTTTGGTTGGTTAAAAAAATAAGGAAATGAATTGGATAATGTTTTGAGGTTGTTTGTATTTTGTTCATTTTTAAAAATAAGCAAATAGATGAGATGAGATGAGTTGGAGGTATATTATTGGATGATGTGATACATACTTAAGAAAATCAATTTTTTTTTTTGAAAAAATGGATGGAAATGAAGGTTTAATGAGATGAGATGAGTTGTCACAATATTATTGGATGATGTGTGTGATTTTTAAAAAAATGAGATAAGATGATATGTGATGAGTTTGATGATGTGACACATTTCTTGTGTTTGGTTTATTTTTAAAGGTAAGAAATGAGATGAAATGAGATGAGTTGGAGGATAAAAATATTATTTTAATAGATATTGTGGATGAGTTTTAGGAATAAAAATGGATAACAATATTTTTTTTATTGGTTTCCTTGTACCGATTTCCTTTTCTTGGTTTTTAGGAAACCAACCAAACGGCCCTTCTACCTGTGCTCAAGCCAAAAGACTAACACACACTCTCTCTCTCTCAGACACACCAATAAAAAAGAAGAAAAAAAAGCCGTTAGGGCAATAGCTGTTAATTAAACAACGCAAATAAACAACACCCATGCATTAATAAAGGAGCAGGATACAATACCTACGCTCTCTTTTACCACTCTTACAAACCACTTGAAAAGATCTAAAGCTCTTCTTATTAATCAAAAGTCTCTCCACACTCTTCTTCACATTTACTTAGCAACCTAATTCAAGCACAATAAATATTATCCGAGTCCTCGCTCACACAAATGGCCGGTGCATGACACTGCACCTTAATGGGCGGCTGTTGTTGAGCCGGCGACTGCAGAGTCAGGGGACTGGCTGCCCGCTTGCAGACGCCCACGGGCTCTACACGGCTACAAGGGGAATGATGGGGAGGTCGTCGCAGTTGCAGATTTCAATCATGAAGCTGTCAGGGTCGTGGAAGAAAAGCTGGTCGACGTGGGTGCCGTCCTCCACCACTCGCCGCTGGATATAGTCGATACCAATTTCTTTCAGTTTTTTCTCTACTAATGCCATGCTCTCACACTGGATCATAGTAATTAAGGATTAGGCGTTTTACAAGAAAATTCATTACCCAATGATTTCTAACAAGAGTTTAAAAACTCATTGAAAAAAAAACAAGAAAACAATCGGAATGCCTTAAATTAAGTCACTTTAAACATTAGATCAAAACTTCAAAGTTATGGTGAGGGTGGAAGTAATAATTTTTTTAAAATCCGCATTAGATTCATGGCCAGTAAGATTCGAAACTAGGTTACTCGAACACCATCTTAAATTAAGTCTCTCTAACCATTACATCAAAACTCCGAAGTTATGATGATTGTCAATGATTATAGTTTTATATTAATTCTAACAGAATGCATGATAATAAGATAGAGCATGCTTCCATTGTACATGTGGTGTATGTAAATAATAAGTGACCTTCTTTGTCTAGAAAACACTGATAAACTCGATTCATTCATTTTTCGATGATGAGACATGAATATATGATATATGGTGATGAATACCAAGAGAAGCTTAGGAATCATAGAGCAGTGGTGAAGCCATAATTTTGTCTTAATCATGTCTTCATATAACTTAGTAAAAAGTAAATACGAGTAAAAAGAAAATAAGGACACACACACATAGGAAATCCAAAATGGTGCCCTCCTCTGACATTATGCAGCCCCCCTCTGAGACATGAATATATATATATATATATACACGGGCGCCCACACCCCCACAGTACACACACAAATTTATAGCGGTGCATCAGGTTAACAAGATATATGTCAGATAGTATTCTAAGGGGCCGTTTGTTTGCGATTTGAGTAGTGGGAAAGCCTGCCAAAAGTATAGTTTTTTGCAGGCTTTCCACCCAAATCGCCTCTAAAAGAGACGATTTGGGTGGAAAGACTGCCAAAAGCTGTACTTTTGGCAGTGTTTCTAGCCCTTTCCCCCTAAAATACCTCTTTCCAAACAACCCCTAAACTCCTACATATGTCTACCAAAGTACATGGCGATCACAAGTTAACAAGGCGTTGCACTTTGATAGGGTCAAAGTCCATATGTATTGATAACTAGTTAGCAACAGGTTGGCAGTTTAGTGTTGGATGATGACAAGACTTGCTTATAAAATTAGAAGAGCGGGAGATGGTGACCCATTTTTAACTTAAAAAAAGCGGGTAAACCAAGTCTGCATGCACGTAAGTCCCATGATCATTGATGATATAAATAATTTACGTGCATAAGAGACAAAAGACTTTCTTACCATTTGCTGAAAATAGCTAAATGAAAATTTTTAGAGTTATTTCGTGTCAGAATACAAAATTGTAACGTCGCGCTTCATCCAAGTTTTAGTCCCATTAGCCATGAACTAAATGCGAATTTAATATCATTGAGTTAGCACGGATTCCAGCCTATAGAAAAGACGTTTAATTAAATTGCGGGCACGTCTTAAAATATAAAGCAATAATTCTCGATCTATACTACAACTTCGGTGTTTTTGTGGTGACGGTACTCCTTTGACAATTGCACACACCGGTAGTTTCATTTGGGTTTCGAGCCCCGGTAAAATCTTTCTGAATCTTTTACTTTCAAGTACAGTCACTAATTTCACATGGGATAAATATCCAACAAAATTTTACCTGGGATGAAAGCAGTGGCGGATTAAGAATATCTAAAAAATGGAGTCATACATGATTAAAAATGTTAAAAATTTATAATTGTCTTCAAGAAGTTTTCATTTTAAAAAAATTAGATAATCATATTATTAATAACATCATCAAATATATTGTCACCAATCATTAATGGTTCCAAATATATTGTTTTCATATATGCCACTAATCATAGGTTTCTTGGTTCTAGTCTTGAATTGCAAGATGAGTATTTTAGTAGGTAAAACATGCCCTTGACTTTTGTCATTTCCCCTTAACTTTTTAATTGCTTCGATCTTAATCGTTATCTTCACATGAATGCGTTTTTGTAATTTTTTTTTTGTTTTCTAGAATGCTCTATATACCATACTCCATGAACATAGGATATGAGCTCATATAGTTACATATCCATTATATTTTAGATTCTAAAGGGAATAAAAATAAAAATTGTAAGTTCCTTTTAGCTGCTAATAATAATAATAATAATAATATGTAAAGAAAAAAAAAGCAAAAGAATATAAAAGTAAAAAAAAAAAAAAAAATTCAGGACGTTATAAGTTTTGTGCATTAGGAACATGCATATTATTTTGCAAGAAAAGCAATAAAATATAAACAAATGATATTAATAGATGCTAAAAACCTTATCTTTCATTAAAAAAAATTTCATTAGATTTAAGATATCATCACATTATTATTATAATCAAACCACTAATGCATTTCGAGATATATAGATTTATTAAAAAGTTTTGCGCCACTTACACGTGCATATGCACGTGGAATAATGCTAGCTTATTATTAGTTCCAGCCTAGATTATTGATGTCATCGTAGGTCCAATGATAAATGATTTAATACAAATCATTTCCACTTGCTCATATGTACGCTAAATATAAGCAAAGAGTCCATGCCTTAAAATATTATTTGGATCATGCATCTTCTCTTAAGCTATCTCTTAATTGGCATTCATGGATTGCACTAATTCACAAGAAATCAAAAGTATATAGTTTTATAAATTCAAAAAATTGAATGCCCATTTGATTATGACGACACAAAATAGGGCAAAATAATTAAAAAAATAAAAAAAATCATGAATTTTGACATAATATTCATATAAAATTTGACAATTGAACATACCTGGAAGGAGATGTGATTATCCCTGGGATTGATGTTAGCTTTCTTCTTTATGCTATCAGGGTCCTCAGATTGCAACAAATGGATTCCAATTCCATAATTAAACAGCCTAACAAAGGAAATATACCAATTAAAAACTAGCATCCACTTTGTTTACCCCAAACAATTAACTTCCAGAAAACCTAAATAGCATTTTGCAAAAAATTAATTGAAGTTCACATAAAATTTGATTGTTTATTAGTACTTATGGATCAAAATTTGACGATTTCGCATTGACGCAATGATGAAATCCATGATAAACCCTAGTAAACCAGTTTTTGAGGTACGATAAGTGCTACCGAAAGTATAGACCACAGAGATTATCTATATATGGCCAGTTTTTGAGGTAGGATAAGAGCTACTGAAATTGCGACACAAAGAATTTTAGCAGCATACCATGCACCATTGAAACCAAAAGAGCGAGGCCTCCTTACAGGTACAAAGCCAAGAACACTCTGGTAGAAATCAAGCGATTTTTCGACCGATCTACAAACCAGAGAGATGTGGTTCAGTGAAGAGAGCGGCAACACTCCGCCTCCTCCTGACTCCAACATCCTTTGTTCTTGTTTCTTATCCTAATTCTCTCCCCCTTATATTGTTATAGCTAGCTTCCCTTTATTATGGTATCAAAATTTTCCCCTTGAGCTCACAATTTAAACAAGAGATGGCTAATGAATTGAGGAAGGAGAGAATTCGCGGCAAATTAAGCCTACAGTAAAAGAATGGATAAATTTGATATGATGAAAGTTTAGAGGTGTGCTCAATTTATACGGGTGGTGGATGAGTAGGTGACATGCATGGCATGTACACGTGTAAAATAAACGTGCGGTTATTCACACGTGGATACACTAAGCTCTCGTGCAAAGAAAAGAAGATTCTATCGAGGGCTTTCTATGAAAAATAACTTAGGGGCTGTCAACTTGTGAACTGCATCTTTGAGGATTTGTTTCGTACAAGTTTGAATCTTGAAAAATTCATACTCAAGCTTGCTTATAAAGAAACATTGATAATGATTTATATGGAGGACAAAATCTAACGTCTTTTTTTGGGTCTTATGAATTTTGTTGAGGACACCCTAATGAAATCACAAAACTAACAGATATTAGTGTATTTTTGTACATCAATTTTGATATATCTATTCGATGTAATAATCTTAAACCCTAAATAAGAAAAGTGCCAATCAATAGTATACTATTTTGATACAATCTAGGATTTTAACCTTATATATGGACCCCAAACATAATGTTGCAAAATTCCCACCAAAATTCACCGAAACATACGACCCCTATAAACTAAGAAGAAATTGTCTACCAACAGTTTTAAGTCAGTTTTACTAATCTAAACTAATTATAAAAATCAACTTAATCAACGCTATAGAGCTCATATAGTTATTGTTGCCATCATCAGCTAAAGAGTCCCCAAACACAAACAAAGCTGGGACTTGGGGATCACTGAGTACTCCAACTGAGCGCTGCAGTAGTAGAGAAATTAAAATAGGGACAAAGCAATTAGAAATGCTCATTTTCCCCCCCCTTTTTCAACTTAATTAAGTGAATTAGTACAAGAGAGTGTAGTATTACTTGGTGATGTATGTATATATATTGACTGTTGTCCGTACTTTCGATAACGGCTGAAGAAACACACGCGATTCCTGTTTTTTGATTCACTTTCCTTTTTTATTTCTTTTTTTCGATAACGGCTGAAGAAACACACGCGATTCTTTACTTTTTCCCTCTTTTTTTTTATTTTCCCCCCCTTGTACTCCTGGTTTTGTGGTTGGCTAACGGATTATTCTTGCTTTTAGAGTTCAGCGTTTCGTTTGACACAATGCTGATTGCGTGTTGGATGCGTAGAATGAGAAGATAATAAAAGTTTACTGATCACGCGGAAAACGATGGGGAGATGACATATTGACCCGATTCATTACTGATAATTTTATAAAGTACAGGTTTCATATCATAGCTATATCCATAACTAACCATGATACAGATATAGATATTTCTATACAAGAAAAATTCATATTCATAGCCGTCTAAATTGAATACAGATGCAGATATAAATAAGAGAAATATATATATATATATAGAAAAATGGGTATGTTTGGTACCAAGCACAAAAAATTGTGCTTGGTAGTGAGGTGGCATAATCCCCTCTACTCATTCAAATGGTTGTATATCCTCATGCACTCCTCAACCCATGTGAATGTGATCTCCCATTTGAATGAGTGGAGGGGATTGTACCACCTTACTACCAAGTACAAAATTTGTGCTTAGTACCAAGCATACCATGAGAAATATGGGTATGCTTGGTACCAAGCACAAAAAGTTATGCTTGGTAGTGAGGTGTTACATCTCTCTCCACTCATTCAAATGTGGGACCATATTCACATGGGTAATGAGTGGATGGGGATGTGACATATCACTACCAAGCACAAAATTTGTGCTTGGTACCAAGCATACCCATATTTCTATATATATATATATATAGAGAGAGAGAGAGAGAGAGAAATGGATATGCTTAGTACCAAGCACAAATTTTATGCTTGGTAGTGAGGTGTCTCATTCCTATCCACTCATTCAATTGGGGGGACCACATTCAACCCATGTGAATGTGATCCCTTCATTTGAATGAGTGGAGGATAATATGTCACCTCACTACCAAGCACAAATTTTATGCTTGGTACCAAGCATATCCATATTCCTTATATATATATATAAGCGTGCATATATATACACACACATGCACACACACTACACGTGTGCGCATATACACACACGTGTGTGTACATATAATCACAAATGCATCTAAATTGTTTTTCAATGTAAACTTAAAATCTTGACTCACTTTTCCTAAATCGTGACACTTAAAAAAAGAAAGACATATGCATTCTACTTCTGGTTTTATTTTATAGCTGGCCATCTATAGAATTATTTCCTCATCCCCGAGGTTTTGATGTGTCCAAAGAATTATTTGTGTTAAATATACAGCATCGAGAGAACTTTGACAATTTTAATCATTGCGTTGAAAGTGTTTAAATACAAGAGCAAGGAGATAAGTTCTAGAATTCTAAGTGATGTGGGACAAAGGTAATGAAAGCAAGATAGCCAACTACTACATTTATCACCCCCTCTCAAACAGTTTTTAGCTGTACCGAATGCAATTTGCGAGAAGAAAGAGAGGGCATGATTATTTGCTTGTTTGATGTAGATGGCGAGGATGTGGTGCTGTTCAGATAAGTCACATGTTAAGAAGCATTAAATAGTTTCTGCCTAGCTCTATTAGTATAGACAGATGTGTAAAATTTAATGGTTTTAATTTTTTAACTTAAAATTGATAATATAGTCATTTACATGCCACAGCTTAATTTATTTTAATAAAAGTAAAATAAAACTATGAAATTTGTACGCATTTTTCTATGATAATGGAAGTAGTTGATAAAGAGTCAACAATTCTTAACATGTGCCGTAAGGGTATACTACAGAAAAACCTTTGCATGCTCTTCTTTAGAGAACAAAGGTATTAATATAGATCTCAATGATAGAGCTCCCTCAGTTCAGTTTTCTTAAATTTAATAGACGTGTTCATTTATTTAGATTGTGATTTCTTGTGTTTGGGATTATTTCATCACTTCTCATGGAGCCCTCCGCAGTTCAGTATTTGTAAATTTAATTAATAGATGTCTTGATTTATTTAGCTTGTGATTTCTTGTGGTTGGGATTATGTCATAAAGTTTATAGATGTGTTCGTTTATTTAGATTATGATTTCTTGTGGGATTATGTCATATGGTAGTTCTATTTTATTGCCTACCCACTCCAAACGTATTTGTTTTTCTTCCTCTTCCTGAATGAGATCCTATGATTCATGTTGTCCATTAACAGTGAACAGTCACATTTCAGTATCTGTTATTATAATATTTTTAAATAAAAAATAGATTGAGGGGCCTTATGCAAAATATATCAATATAGCCTTTTTTTTGGTTAAAGTCCACCTCTTATGGATTCTGTTTTTTCTTTTACAGTAAATTGTATATACTCCTTTTTATCACTATTTTCAGTAGCGTCATCATTTCAATTTGCTTATTAGCAATTAATTGTCACTTTTAGAATTAACATTTGGGAAGAACAAATTGTAAATGACCACCAATTTCTTACGAATGGAGGAATAATGAATTAATGCAAATGAGTTGAGTATAATTTTTTTTTGAAGGAAAAGAAAATAGGGTGAGCTACCATGTTCATATATGCATTAAAAAGAAAATAGTGAATATACAAAAACTGAGAGTATCTCTGCTGGACTATCAGCTATATGAAAACAAATCAAAAGAAAACCAACACAAAAGAAAAACAGCTGAAACACAAGAGGAGAGAAACTGAAACTAAGGTGATTATTGTCTGAAACACTAAAAAACTTGTGGATCAATGGTTTGCCGAGAAATTATTTCCTACTGCATCATGCACACCTGTTTTAGCAAGTTCTTCCAGTCCCAAGTTGATGGCGTCCTTGTGTAATCTACTGAAAGCTCTATTTGCTGATGTTCTTATCCAGAACAAAATGTATCTTGCTACATTAGAAACTAGTTGCTGATTAATTGTTGACTAGAATATCATTAAAAATGAGGTTGCTGCGTCTGTTCCATATCTACCAACAAAAAACAAGGGAGCGTGACTTTCCAAAGAACTTTAAGGTTGTGACTGAACCAAGTATTGCTTTTGATTGAGATGAAGAGGTCCAGATTCTGAGGCCAACATTCTATAGGCACTTGAAGGAGAAGAATAGTCCACACTGATGATGAAAATGGACAATTAATGAATAGATGATCATGAGTCTCTATACTTTGATTGCATAAGGGACAACTTTGATTGCATGATGAACAGATGATCATGGGTTGAGTATAATGATAAAAGATACCCGCTGAATGGCATAGATGAATGGGTTATACGTACTTTATCATTTATTTTGTTTTGTTTTATTTTGAGATAATGACATGGTTTGCTGTCTGTATATTAAAAAAGAAAGAGAAAAAAAAACGAGTCACAACCAGCACAACCATGGACTGATCATAAAGTGATATGGTCCCTAACTTATAAAGTGATTTGGTCCTTAGATTTTAATATTTTGACGTTCATTGAGTCTTTGTTATATACTTGTAGCAAACTTCCACGATGTCTCAAACTTATTGGTGAGATTGTTCTTCAATATTGTTTAGTCTGTAGTTCGGATAAGACTTTACTTCGGCTTGGCCAATCAATATTTTTGGCTTAAGAAATGATAACACGTGAAAAGATCAGCACTAGTTTTAATTAGTTTCCGAATTAATTATTATTTTCCATAAATAGTTGGTCATGTGTATCATTGCATTCAAGAATAAATAAAGCAACAACTACGCTAGAATAAGTTCGGAATAGATCACCTCCACAGCTCAACCAATTAGGGCCTAAAATTCATTGGATTTAGCACGCCATGCATACAAGCTTGTCATTAATTAAAATTTTAAAGTTATCAAAACTGTATCAATGTGATGAGTATTGGGACTTATTGTTCTTTAATAGTCTTAATACTTGTCAAGCGTCTTCCAGGTTACTATAAAAAGTTGTTCATGAAATTAATCAGATTCTTTTTTAATCAGTGCGTGAAGGTTTTTTCTTTCTTCCTTTTTTTTTTTGGGGGGGGGGGGGGGNTTATTTTGATAGTTAATGATACTTGTTGCCGTGCGAGCACCTTTGATCG